CCTTTTTTGTTACAAACCCTTGTGTCGTTGACTGACTGCTCTGCTTTGTACAAAACCCTGACCCAGAAACAGCACCAAGTCCCCCTTTAATGTTTATTGTCTGATGGGCAAAAGGGTTGCCGCCATTTACTGCATCAAGTTTTCCAGCATGAAGGGCTTTCCATATCTGGTTCTGGTGTGCTGTGTTGTGAATGGAGGGGGACCAGTTATCTGAGGCCAACCGAGGCTCCACAGGCAGCTGCCCTATTGTTTCACTTGGGCGGGATTCTGACTTAGAGGCCTTTGATCATCATCACACAGATGAGTGTTGATGATTTTGATGGTTGCATTTTGATTGTGTGGGAGAATGGTCTCTTTTGTTTGCAGGAAATAGTCACTAGAGTATTGGGAGATAATGAGAAATATTGGCAAACTTACTCTCACATGCCTCAGAGTCCAAAAGTTTCATAAGCTAGACTTATAATTGTTCTATGGTTTGAAATATAGCTCCTTTTCTCTAAAGAGTTGTTGCTGGGTCCCTTTCAGAAAGATACTTGAGTGAGGATGTGTTGAAATTTGTCGGAAGCTTTTGAAAGGCAGCTTTTAGCCTATCAAAAGAGGACAGGTGGTTTGGGGGTGCTCTCTGGGGCTACACTACCTTTAGTGGGGAGTGGGTTGGGGGCACTACTGGGTCCTGCAATGCGGGTGGCAGGGACAGGTTGTGAGTGCTATGGGGTACTACACTGCGAGTGGTGGGGGGAAGTTTGGGGGTGCTATCGGAGTTACACTGCTGTTGCAGGTGGGGAGGATGTTAGCGGTGCTATCTGGGGGCTGCACTGCTGGTGGCAGGCGGCAGAGGCAGCGACAGCAGTGGTCTCCAAGGAAGGGACTGTTCTGCTGTTTCCAGACTCTGTACTCTTCTGCTTGTGCTGGAGTGTGGCAGACACACAGTGATTCCGTGCTGAGTATGGCAGGGTCCCCACACCTGCCATGGTTCCCAGGCCCGTGCCCTCTTGCTGTATTGCAGAAACTGCCTGGGACCACCAGGCACAGAGTAGCGGGCACTACGGAGTCGGAAAGGGTCAGGGCCCTGTGGGTTCAGGCATCAGGGACAGGAACTGGCAGTAGGGTGCAGGGGTGGCTAGGTCTGAGTTTCTGCTGCTACTGCTCCCCGAGGAGTGCAGCCTTGGTGGGCCCAAGGGTTCCTGGCTAGCTCGACCTGGCCAGGGCCAGGTTTCAGCAAAGGCACTCAACCCACCCCAGGCCCCAATTCCTGGCCAACTTGGACCAAAAGGAGAGGCTGGACTTTGCAGGATATGTGTGAGTGCCTTGGCTGAAACAGGTCCCGGCCACCCAGTGGCCAGCATGACAAGGTGAGGCTCTAATGCCATCACTCCCTGCATCCTCTTCTAGGCTTTTCTGGATTTGCCTGCCCAGCTGCTCCATGCCTGGTTGGAGGAGGTACCAGCTGCATCCTGGAGGCTGGACCCTGCAGATGGCACAGCTCTGTGGCTCACCTCGCTGTGGTTGGTGGCCGCAATGGAGACTGCAGCTCAACTGGAGAGGTAGGAAGGTGCCTGGGGTGACCAGGTGGTAGAGCCTTGTAGGGTGGGCTGGTGCACTGAGGGTGACAGCAACAGTGGTTGTATTGGTGTCGTCACCAGTGGTGGCAGCAACAGCAAGTCTGGAGGCCAAGAAGAGGGAGTAGGGGCACTACAGGGCCCGGCCCAGCCTGGGGTGGGGAGGAAGTTGCAGTTGTTGTACTGTGGACCTGGGTGCCAGCAGTGGTCGTGCAGCCAGCGCAAGGAGGAGTCCTCCCCCTTCTGCAGAATCTAAAGGGTCCCTTCTTCCTGCTTTTGCCTGAGGCGAGAGCGGCAGCATTGTCTCATTCCTAACAAAATTTAGGGAGTGACTATTTGTGTATTTTCTACTTGTTTTTGTTGTGGTAGTCCTGGACTTTTTAAAATTTCATAAATTGGAGAGGAGAAAATATCATAATAGACCTTATTTTTTGTTGTTGAGACAGAGCCTTACTCTGTCACCGAGGCTGGAGTATAGTGATGTGATCTCAGCTCACCGCAACCTCTGCCTGAGTTCAAGCTACCCTCCTTTCAAGCCTTTGCCTTTCAAGTAGCCTGTATTACAGGTGCCCACCACCATGCCTGGCTAATTTTTGTATTTTTAGTAGAGGTAGGATTTCAGCATGTTGGCCAACCTGGTCTCAAACTCCTGACCTCAAGACATCTGCCTGCCTTGGCCTCCCAAAGCACTGGGATTACAGGCGTGAACCACCACAGTCTGCCTCAACAAATAATTTCAGTTTAAAAATAATAATGACAAACGTCAATATTTTTTACTTAAAATCTTTCTTAAAACTTTTTTTTTTTTTTTTTTTTTTTACTTTAAAGGCAGTTAGATTTAAGACTGTTCACATATTGAAAACCAAAGCATTTTAAGAGAAATCTCACATACGCTCTGTAGACCACACTTATCTTTATCTTTATATGGCTCTTTTTTTTTTTGGTATTTTCTTTTTAACTTTGGTTTTTCCTTCCTTTTTTGTTACAAACCCTTGTGTCGTTGACTGACTGCTCTGCTTTGTACAAAACCCTGACCCAGAAACAGCACCAAATTTATCTTTATATGGCTTTGTCTAGGTTACTGAGCATGAAAAGTAAATCATATTCACAAAAAAAGTTACTCGTGTGCATTTCAAAAAGGAATTAACTTCAAAGTATCTGCCTTACTCTGTGGTCCTCACCAAAAATAATAGGGCATTTCAGACAATACAATTAAACATTTGACATATGCATAATTATAGAATTTTTGTTAAAAACTGTGCATGGCACAAAGAGAATTTTCAGATTGTATTATGCGGAGTAAAAATTGAACTCTGTAGAAGTGTTTCGTTTAGGAAAACCAGGGCTTAAAATAATAAGAATAATGTTGATAAGATTTTTGCTGATAAAGAAATGCTTAGGCGGGTATGGTGTCTCTCACCTGTAATCCCAATACTTTGGGAAGCCAGGCTGGGTGGATCACAAGGTCAGGAGTTCAAGACCAGCCTGGCCAACTTGGTGAAACCCCATCTCTACTAAAAACATAAAAGTTAGCTGGGCATGGTGGCAGACACCTGTAATCCAGGCTGCTTGAAAGGCTGAGGCAGGAGAATCATTTGAAACCGAAAGGCAGAGGTTGCAGTGAGCCAAGATTGCCAAAAGTAATGAGCAGTTTGGCAGGTAAGACAGGCTGTCAGGCCATGGCAGTTCAGCAGTGGGCATGCTGCCTGTCGAGTCACTTGTTCCCGAGGACTACGGCTAAATACCACAAATAAAATCTTCTTTGTCACTGATACTTGATATCACAATGAAATGATGTTATCTTTCAGATTTCCGGTTGAATTATTCACCCATTAACACCTGGTGATTTGGGTTGTAAGATTATTTTTAGTTTTTCCTGTTCACATTTCATCCATAAAACGCAAACAAGACATACTTTTTCACGTAAGAATGTAAGCAGTATAAGACTTTTAAAACCCACTAATGAAATATACATGATTACATGCTTTAATGAACTAAAACTTTCATCTGTGATCTTTATTTTGCAGCACTCTGAGGTAGCATTACGGTCTCTTAGGTGTGCTGTCATTTATGTCCCTTACTTCATCCTAGGAATCCTTTATTGCCATTGAGCGTATGAAAACAGAAACATGTGCATAGCTTCTCTGCATTGAGCCCATCAGTGGGTAGGAGCTGTATACTGGGGACATTTGGCAGAGATTTTCATGAGTCTGTTGGATACAACAGCTCCTTAGGAAACCTCATAGGTTACCTTCCCTATTTTTTACCATTTGTAAACTAAGGCTCCGTGATATAAAATATAACAGATTCTGTGCTGTGGCATAACTGCAGCTTAAGGTTTTCATATTCAACACAACAGAGGTATAGCTGAAAATGTATGAACACTTAACATACCTCAAGATCCCTTTGTTGGTATATTTGTGGCATTTCCAGATAGCTGACCTGGGGCTAAAGCATCTTTCTGGCATCGTGTTTCTAAGTTGCCTTTAAGCTGAATAAATTTTTGGTTTTTATATTTAATCACTTCTATGTGAAATGCTGCAATTTAAAAAAATTGTACGTGTGTAATACAGGTATAGTATTTTACACTAAATAATAATGACTGGCAGTCCATTGGCCCAAGAGGTATAATTTTTCAGATATTCTGCTCTGTGTCATCAGATGTAGACAATGACCTGGCATTCATCTGGAAAGACTTGTGGTCAGGGATTCACAGTGCTGCTGGTGGGGTTTCTCCAGACCCTTTACATATGACACTTTAGGACGGGGTGAGTCACAAGTTACATTAGAAGTTGCCTTTGAAATTAGACCTAAACCATGTGGAACTGGAACCCTTGTGCACAAAGCTCCCTGTATCATCCAAATCCTGCTGAACTCTTGGGGAAGAACAGTTTTACAGATTCATTCTTTCCACACTGAAGATTTCCCCACTGCCCAATTACTCTCACCTTTTTTTTTTTTCTTGACTGTTATGTTTTACTTGACTCTGGAGTCTTATACTCTTACCTTTGTACGGAGTATACCTTATTTCACCAATTATACTTTTTGTTTATTAAAAGCAGAAATAGTTACTTATACCTGAAAATTTGCACCAAGAATGTAGCTGTGAATATGTTAAGAAAGTATACTTAAAGCAAGAAATCAAAGAAAATATATTAAGTCAAAGCTAATTCCATTTCCAAATGGCAATAAAGCATGTGTTACATAGAATCACTGCATGAAAGTGTTTTAGTAGCCAAGATGAGATTGTACGCTGGTGAATAAGCAAGAGTTCTTTTTTCATTTTCATCTTCCAGTTCAAACGGGTATTTGGGTTCTTTTTTCTATTCACTCATGTCACACGGAGACCTGTGTTGTAAATTATTTTGTCAGAATGAAAGCCTGGCAGATTAAATTCTTTCTTCTCTTCTTGCTATACTTGATATTGATCTCTTGTTCATTTTTTGATAATGCATTTGCTTATTTATGTTCTCATTGCTTTTAGAGTCCGAGATGGCTTTGGGTTCCCAGTTCTGTGTGTTCCTGTCTGGTTCCTGAACCCAGCTGGAGAAATATGTCAGTCCCAACTGGTGAAGTACTGAGAGGAAGCTACACAAAAGATAGCTAGGTATTAGTAATTGTACCTCTGACATTTTAACCACCTCTGACTTTTCCATGGAATGGACAAGTAGTAGTCTCTGTCAGAGCTACATTTTAAAGGAAAAAAAGAAACTTGAAGTTGAAAACTATTGATTAATTCATGATGTTATTTTGTGTTTACTCAGCTCATTTATGTTGACTTGTAAATTATTAATTTATGAACCGTTAGTCATCAATTCATTGCCTACATATCAACAAACAAGTTTTCTTTTTAATAATCTGGTGGCTGGGCACAGTGGTTCCCTCCTTTAACCTCAACACATTGGAAGGGCAAGGTGGGAGGATTGCTTGAGGCCAGGAGTCTAAGACCAGCCTGGGCAACATAGAAAGATCTCATCTCTACAAAAAAAATGAAAACATTGTCTGGGCATGGTGGCTCATTTTTGTAGTTCAAGGTACTCAGGAGCCAGGAGTTTGAGGCTGCAGTGAGCCATGATCCTAACACTGCTTTCCAGTCTGAGTGACAGATCAGGACATCATCTCTTAAAAAAAAGGAATCTAAAGGCTTTAGTGTGTGCACACAGCATGGCTTGTGAATGTGGAAGTGCCTGTGTGTGTGTGCATAGGTGTGCTCAAGAATGTGTTGATGATTACACCGTCTTAGAATAAAGATCATTTTTATAAAGATCTCTCCATGTCTTAGATTTGATTCTTCCTAGGAATATTTCCCTCATTGACCTTTGAAAGCACCTGACCATATATAAAAATGAAGAATTTTCATAACTCATAAAAGGAGAATTATGACATCATCTACTATTTATGTCTCTGGTCTCATAAATCTGAACTATCAACCTGCTTATTTTTATGTACTGTCACACCGTGTATTCCCTGCATTGAATGCTGTTCTATTGACATTCTCTCTCTAAATTGTAGAAAGTTTTCTGTACCCTAAATTTTCTATTATAGGGATTAAATAGCCACTATCCTTTTTTTTCCCAAGTCTTACAGCGTAAAGGGTAAGTAAATACAGCCCTCACAGCAGCCTGTTGTTTGTCCTGCAATTATGTTTCCATCACATTACACAAAGCCTCTTGGTCTTCATGGTAGTATCCTACTAATAAGTTTTTTTTTTTTTAATGATGTAATATGTGTGTATACAAATACCTATATGTGTATACACATACAGCTGATACCTAGTGTGATTACATATGGATGAACTATAGAATTAGCTTGTAATTTTAGGAAAATAAGTTATTTTGTAAAGATACATCTCATGTTCAAGAAAGATAATTGCACTTGAATCAGTTATGGATGCCTCAGCCTAAACACAATATGGAAAGAGCAGTAACTAAAAGTCATTTTAGAGTACTGCTAGGCTATTCAACGTATCATCACATTTAATTAAAATGTCAGTTTGAACCATGGCCAGTGAATTTGGTTAATATGTTATTTAAATCAACTTGTGAAGTGTTTATTTTAAATATAGAATTTGTGTTAATGAACAGGGAAAAAAACATTCTGTTGCTTTGGAAGACATGTTAAAGCCCAAAGATTTATGACTTCAGAGAAGAAAAAATCCAGCTGATGATCAGTTGGCATTAGTACATGAGGATGTAACTCATATTTGGTAATAGCCATTTTTTTCTAACTAGAGTAAGGAAGTTGGAAACGAGAGGCAAAAACAAGGAATCAGATGTATAAAAAATCACAGGACAAAACCCATGAGCAGATAGTATTTCAGCTTCTCTGGCTTCTCTTTTGTAGCGACCTAAAGCATCCGTTTGGTCTGAAGCTTGTTGGACCCTGTCAGTGATTTCTGTGAACTGGAGTTAGACTGCCCTGGTAGGTTTTGGATGACATAGTTCCAGGGCTAGTGATGAGGGTGGTAGCCCTTTTTTTTTTTTTTTTTTTTTTTTTTTTTTGGGTTTTTTTTTTTTTTTTTTTTTTTTTTTTTTTTGAGACAGAGTCTTGCTCTGTCACCTAGGCTGTAGTAGACTGGTGTGATCTTGGCTCACTGTAACCTCTCCCTCCCAGGTTCAAGCAATTCCCTACCTCAGACTTCCAAATAGCTGGGATTACAGGCGACTGCCACCACACCTGGCTAATTTTGTATTTTTAGTAGAGACGGGGTTTCGCCATCTTGGCCATGCTGGTCTTGAACTCCTGACTTTGTAATCCGCCTGCCTTGGCCTCCCAAGTGCTGTAATCCCAAGTGCTGGGATTACAGGCATGAGCCCCCACACCTAGTCAGGAATGACTTCCTTAAGCAAAAATGCCTTGGCTTTCACTCCTAAGGAGCTCCCTGTGGTTTAAAGATAGTGGTGGGGACTGTAGGGAAATGGTACCCAGCAAAATGACTGACCCATGCAATGCCTGTTGACAGGGCAGAAGTCCAGCCCTTGTGAAGGATTTTTACCCTCCCTATGCTGTCACCATGATCAGGGTGAAGAAGTGGTGAGCCTTTCACCAAGCTGTAAAGACCCATGTGAAAAGAGGCAGTGCCTCCTCCTTGGCAGTCAGTTTCTCATCACTCCCCGCGGTGAACCTGTCTTCATTCATGTCCTTGATGCTATGACTCCTACGCTGATGGAAGTATGTTATAAAGTGGAGACTCTTCTTGTGGTTACCAGACAAATTTTTCTCCAATTACCTTAGAGATATTTAGCAAATTATGTGTTTTGGGGTCTCTGGCTAGCCCCACCAGTTGACCCAATTTTGCTGCCATGAACTGCATGCTCAGACCCCATCCCTGAAAGTTTTTATAACCAATTAGTTTCCCTTTTTTCCTTGTTTTGCATCAACTTCTCTAGGAAATGTTGCATTTCCACCATGGTGTAGTTATGTGTCTCCACCTTTCATTCTTCCTGGGCATCTTTAGAAATTTTGGGGTGTCAGGTGGTGACTGGGAATCCCTGGGGAGGAGGTGGATCCTCTGCCCTACCTCGTAGGGTGCCACTTTCTACTCAAGAGCATTACGATCAACCTCTGACGGGTCTCAGTCAGCATCCACTAAAGGAAGGTAGGCAGGGGTTGTTGGTGTGGCACCGAAGGCAGAGGTGCTCGGCATGGCAGAGTGAGATCTTTGGCCCTTGGCATATTGGCAGGATGCAGGGATAGGAGCATGCAGCCATGTGAGCAAATGTCTGAAAAGAACTGAAAAAGTTTCTGCCTCCTCCAGAGACTTAGAGGGAGCTGTGCCACATGTTCAGAATTACCACAGTTAACCATCATTTTGTGACCCCTCATCATGGGTAAACCCCTTGGTATCCCCGAAGGTCAGCATGCAAGCACCTTCCAGAAGCAAGAAAGGCAGCAACAGAGAAGGTACTTGCCTCAGCCATGCTTAATCTTGTGAGGCGTTGTGAGGACTCAGGTGTGAAGTTACCCCCCCATGGGTCAGGGTTAAGCCATTTACTATTTCCACTCTGGCTGCACTCATGGACACTGAGAGCTTAGTGTCACATCACCCACTTCAAGTCTCTAGAGAGGAGTTGTTGATCCCCTGGAGCCTAGTAGTCTAAATTCCACCACTGCCTAGGTGAAAGTGGAGCTCCACTGTCCAGACCTGCTCACTCTGGCTCAATGCCAGGACTTTGCAACTTACAGCCAGTATGGCCCTGACCACTCCCAAGGTCACAGGAACAGGGTACTTGGCTGAAAGCAACACATCTTAAAAGTACTGGGTTCGGGGACCTGATCCTAGCAAGGGCGTTGATGCCATGCTGGAAAACATGCCTATACTGGGACTTCCTCTCCATAGCTGCCGGGGAGTTTAGAAGCTCTGAGCATTGTCTCCAGACACTGCAGTTTCAGGAGAATCCCCAAAACACCACCATGCAACAGCAGTATGTAGTGGCACAAAACAGCATGATTGAATGCTGGCAAACAGTAGTGCCATCCTGGACACAGTGGGCTGTCCAGTACAGAACTTCAGTAGGCCATTTGCACAAAACAGATATTGGGACAACGTCCAAGCCGAGGCCAGAAACCTGCCAACTATGCTGGATATTGAAACGTTCTGCGTTTCTCTTTTCACCTGGCTAGCAGCTGTTATAGGCAGCCACCAGAGGCCCAGACAGAAGAGCAAAAGCAGGTGGTGCACCCGCGTGCCATTCTCAGGTGGGCTCACCAGCAGGATTGGATTGTCGTCATGGCTTCAGTGAGAACCACATTGTGAGAGTTTAAGAGTTTTGATGACTTACAGATCCTCAAGTTATGCAGGGCCACCACCACGGCAGACAGGCAGCAGTCCTGCATCCTAGGTCTTCTGTAGGAACAGCAGCTGTGCATAATACAGGAGTATCCTCCTATATAACAGCTGTTTGGGATTGGATGACTTAATTTCATGGATAGGAAGAAGCAATATTGTTAAAATGTCCATAGCACCTAAAGCAACGTGTAGATTCAATGCTATTCCTATCTATCTACCAATGACATTTTATACAGAGCTAGAAAAACTATTTTCCAATTCATACTGAACCAAAAAAGAGCCTTAGAATAGCCAAGGCAACCCTAACCAAAAAGAACAAAGCTGGTGACATTACATTACGTGACTTCAAACTATTCTACAGGGATACACTAATCAAAACTGTGATACTGATACAAAAACAAACAATAGACCAATGGACCAGAATCAGAATGGAGAGCCCAGATGTAAAGCCACATACCTAAGAACTTCTGATTGTCAACAAAACTGACCCCCCCAAAAAAATAAAAAGCAATGAGGAGGAAAGAAGGATTTTGTATTGAATAAATAGCTGGTTGCTGGGGTAACTGGCTAGGCATATGCAGAAGATTCAAACTGGATACCTTCCTTAACACTATATACAAAAAAATTCACTCAAGATGGATTAAAGACTTAAATGTAAAATCCAAAACTGAAAACCCTGGAAGACAACCTAGGCAGTACTATCCTGGACTTAGGAATGGGCAAAACTTTTATGACAAAGATGCCAACAGCAATCACAACAACAGCAAAAAATTGGCAAATGATGTCTGATTAAAGAGCTTCTGCACAGTAAAGGAAACTCAACAGAGCAGACAGACACTGGGAGAAAATATTTGTGAACTATGCACCTGACAAAGGTCTAACATCGGCATCTATAAGGAACTTAAATGTACAAGAAAAAGCAAAAATCCCATTAGTAAGTGGGCAAAGGATATGAAAAGACACTTTCGTAAATAAGATATACATGCAGCCAACAAGCATGTAAAAATATCTCAACATCTCTTATTATCACAGAAATTCAAATCAAAACCACAGTGAGATATCATCTCACACCAGTCAGATGTATTTAATAATAGCTGTTATTAAGTCAAAAAATAACATGTTTTCAAGATTGTGAAGAAAAGTGAACACATACACTCTTGGTGGGAGTGTAAACTAGTTCAACCATTGTGGAAAGCGGTATGGCGATTCCTCAGAGCTGAAAACAGTTTACATTTAACCCAGCAATCCCATTTCTGGGTATATACCCAAGGGAGTATAAATTACTCTACCAAAAGGCACATGCACATGAATGTTCATTGCAGCTCTGTTTATAATAGCCAAGACATGAAATTAACCTAAATATGCAATGATAGATTAGATAAATAAAATTTGGTGTGTACACCATGGAATACTATGTGGTCATGAAAAAGAGATTACATCTTTTGCAGGACCATGGTTAGAGCTGAAGGCCATTATCCTTAGCAAACGAATGTAGGAACAGCCAAATACCACATGCTGTCACTTGTAAGTAAGTGGGAGCTAACTGATGAGAACTGATGAACACAAAGAAAGAAATAACAGACACCACTTGAGAGTGGAGTGTGGGAGAAGGGAGAGGATCAGGAAAAATAATTGGGTTATAGTCTTAGTACCTGGGTGATGAAGTAATCTGTATAACAAAGCCCTGTGACACTAGTTTACTTATATAACAAACCTGCACACAAAGCCCTAAACCCAATTTTTTTTCTAAAAATGGGTGTTTTTTTCCTTTGCTACCCAGACAGTAATCTAGTGGAAATGGATAAGTTTCTAAGACCATACAATCATGAAGGCTGGATCATGAAGATACACAAAGTCTGAACAGACCAATAATGTATAAAGAGGTTGGATTAGTAATAAAAACTTACCAATCAGCAACAAAAGCCTGGGACCAGATGACCTCACTAAGAAATGTACTTTAACAAGTGAAGTGAAAGACTTGTACACAGAAAACTATGAATTATGATTAAAGAAATTAAACATAAAAATAAATGAAAGGACTTGTGTTCATGGGTTGGAAGATTTAATGTTGTTAAAATGCCCATGCTGTGCAAAACAACTGACAGACTTTATGCTAGCTCCTTCAAATGTTCAATGACTGTTTTACACCAAATTAGAATACCATTGATATGGAACAAGAAAAACACACAAATATTGGCTCTTTGTTCCTCCTGT